TCTTTCCCTGCTACCGATGAGGACAAATTGTACATGTCAGCTTTAGCAAGGAATATGGAAAAAAGCAGCAAAGTGAGCACCACAGTGACAAGCTGCAGCTACCCTTTAGTGGAAGCGGGTGCGGCAGCATTAACCACTGCGATAAAGCAGCATGCACATAGATCAGGCCTAATTTGGGGCCCTAGAGTGATGCTGTGCATGCATGGTGTTTTCAGTTTCTTGTTGCTTTTAGGTGGATGGAAAAGGGCTTGTGTGTTTGTAAGGTGAACAACTTGTTTCCACTTGGGTAATCACCAGAGCTCTTACGTTCCATGAAGGAGATTCAACCTCCGTTTCTCTTCAGGTTTTTTTCTGTCATCTGTGGGAGGAGAAGGCAGGCATTAAGAAGGGAAGTTGCCTCAGCCTCTAACAGCGTAATGAAGACTCTCAGAAACCCTGGGAAGGGTACAGTGTCTAATGGCTCGCAATTTCTGGGTATGGTATAAAAATCTGTGGTTACAGTATGGAGGCTGTCATGAGAATTACTATTACTGCGTAGCACTCAGGAGTATTGGTCGTAAGCAAAGTGCTGGAAAGAAGCATGAGGTCTTGACATTTCAGTGGCTTAACAGTGACTGGGAAAACAGTTTGATTCACTTGTTACAGCTGATTTTCTAAGCGTAGCAGTGATGAAGGGAGATTACTATTCCTGCTATAATATCTTCCCAGTTTTGGTTTCTGTGAGGTATTTTATGTGCCCTGTTCACTGACGAGACAAACTGTAAGAGTCATTCCATGTAAAAATGATATAATGTTCTGTAAAAGCAAAACTACATTTGAGAAGGAGGTATCCATATGTAATAAACAATAACGAGGAAAAGTACTGACAGAAAAAGATGGGTTTATCTTTTGTATAAGAACAACAGAATATATTTAGGAAATAGGAAACTGAATAAAATTATTTAGGACTGAGCTTCCTGAGAGATGCCCTTCTGCAGTTGCACTCTACAGAGGTCTTTGTTTCCCTGTAAACACAAAGAAGCTGCTGACAGGTTCTTAGCTTCAGTGCTTGTTTTCCCATGCTTTAGTTCAGCCAAACCTAGATGCCTATACACAGCAAAGCCTGCCTTATTTTCTTTGGAATTAGAGGGGAAGAATCTATCTTCATGTGTATGTATGTGTGTACTACTTTGTATGAGGATGTATTGAATATTTATGGTGAGATGATAATGATATGAGTATGATATCTACCTAAGATCTTACATTTTAAATGCAAATGATGGATTGGGAACAAGGATTTTGAATATTTACTGATATGGATGTTTACTTAAATATATATATCAGAGCAAAACTTAGAAACGTATAGTAGTTTCTTTCCCTTGCTTACATTATAGCAAAAGGTGTTTCAGATTAGCAGCATTTTGGTCTAGAAGGTGACTTCCTTTTCAAGCTTTCCTGTAGTTTTCCACAGGTAAATGTCAGCCAGCAGAATTTCTGGTGATGAATTTGTAATGCCATTCATTAGCTTGGGACTCAAAGTGACCAAGTTGCAGCCTTTAAGAATTGTGCTGCTTTGCCAGTTTCTCCTTCAACTCTGAGTTGCGTAACCATCTTGAGACTTCATCTTGAGCAGTGTCAGAAAGCAGAGGTCGTTATCTGAATCAGGGTGTTCCTGGTTCGAAATAGAAGTATACTGTTTATATCCTAACATGTTTACCATACAGTTTATATCCTAACATGTTTACCATCTGACAGCTTCATATGCTCTCCCAGAAATGAATTAAAGACATTAGTTTAATTCCTATTGCACTGCTATCTGTATCACAGAAGTTACTATTGCAGTTGACTAGCTCAGCAGAAACAACAAGGATTGGCTGTTGCTTGTTTCTCAAACAGCTTTCTTCTCTCCAGGAGCTGAATCCCGTGTTTGCTAAAGTTGATTGAAAGTTTCCATTGGTTTCAGAGGACATTGTGTTCAAACTGCAGGATGATTCTTACAGCCAAGAACTGAGGCAATGTTATTTTTTAGTTATTTGGTTATTCAGCTATTCAGTTTACCTTTCCTCACAAGCTTTGCTGTTAGTACCTTTCTACACTTTATGCTTTCAATTCTCTCACCTCCTTTTAGATTGGGTCTCTTAGGTAAATTGCCTGAATATAAACTGTAATTGGCTTTGCAGGCTGGGCTTTGTTTGCTTATTTGCATGAATTTCCTTCAGAAACTGTGATCAGCACTGATCCGTTATTTGTTTATGTCCACAGGAATATATCACTCCAAGAAAAGGGCGAAGAGACATAAATGACCCATTTGTGTTCTATCAAAAGCATAGGTAGATTTAAGTTACACCAGAAACTGTGACTGGAAAGTGAGTCTGTTTCTGAGAGTCCACTGCTTCCTTTGTTTCCTTTCTAGCTTCACAGCAAATTTTTTGTTTTGTTTTGTTTTTTATGCGCTGCATAAATTTTCACCATGGGTTTCCTTCCCACCTGTTATTACCAGCCAGCCCACTGATCAGACACCAGGGTTGTGTTCTTGCTAAGTTTGTGGATTGTGTTGGAATCAGAAATCAAGTATGTGATAATGAATGTAATATGCTTTTAAGTGTTGTGATGTTTAGTGGGTAGATGTACATTATGAAGACCTTTCTTGTCTGCAATTTGTGATGAAGATGAATCATTCTTTGGGGAAAGGTTATAGTCATGTTGTAAATCACATTCTAAAAGTGAAAAAAAATAATCCAGCAGTGATAAGTAACTACCATCTGGAAATCTGAACTATGTAATTGTATTATGATTTGTCATCCACATAAGATAAGCTTTTGAGAATGTTTAAGTTGAAGGCGTAGGCACAGAGATATCCAAATGTGTTAACTACTTTAGGTAGTGAAGTTAAATGAAAGTAAAAAAAATATGTTCCATGGGAGGTGGAAAGATTCCTAGAACCAAGAAGATGCAATTCATTGCAGCACAGCTATATGGGAGTAGGTAGGCATTGGGAGTAGCTGTATAGTAGGTTTTACATTGTTTTAAAAAATAGGGCTCACTTTAATTATTTGACAGATGAAAATGAATTTACATCAAAAGAAGCCCCTCAAATTCTTTTTGTGATTTAACTTTGGTTGATGTGGCTCCAAGATGCAGCAAGGGATGCAGATGAACTGTGTATGGGATTGTCTAGCTTTGAGAAATATGTACTGCTGGAAATTGATCTCTTCTATGACTTGAATGAAGAAGAGAAATAGAGATTTCTGAGAAAAGGCATTGGAAGAAAACAAGAGAGGAAAGCCAGCTAAGAAATGGAAAAGCAGTGAAAAAAGCAAAATGCCTTTAGAAATAACTACTCTGAATCAACATCACATAAATTTCTGTTTCTGCCAGCTGCCCACTCACTTTCTCTTTTAATAGAAAGAATCATCTTGGGTCTGAAACAAGTAGTGTGGGGAGCCGTGTATTTACTAAGAAAGTGAGTTTCCTGTCTTAGTGGGTTTTAGCTCGCAACACTGACTGAGTAATGGATTTGATCTCTTTAGGGTGTATATAACATATCAAAATGGTAGAAGCAGCCTTTTTCGAAGGATGCTTCTCCAATATAGAAATGAAGCTTCAGTAATAGCTTTATTATTTCCTTTCTGAATGCATCAGTAATGAAACTTACTTCTTTAAGACCTCTTTTACAGGTATTCATTTAGTCTCACAATGGTTCTGTGAGGTAGACAGTAGTATAAGCTACATTTTGTAGACAAAAATCTGGAGCTCCAGCTAAGACAGTAAACTATTTGTCCCGTGCCTCTCAACAAGCCCCTGGAGTACAGCCATGGTTAGAACCTGGACAAACCTGGCACTTCGTCTTGCACTCATTGCTCCTAGACAAGCTGTCTGTCAACTGAGGTATGTCGAGGGACGGACAGAGACACACAGGAGACTTGCAGAGATGGTTTGTTTTCTGAAAAACTGCTTAGGTGACTAAAATCAAAGAGGTGTTTTACTGACATCTGTGATTTCTGTTCCTTTCTTTTTAGCTGGTGTTGCCAGAGTACTCTATCCATAGTCTTTTCTGCATAATGTTCTTGTGCGCTCAAGAGTGGCTCACACTGGGGTTAAACGTTCCTTTGCTTTTTTACCACTTCTGGAGGTAAGCCCATCTTTTATATGCTGACTGCTTGTTAGCCTTATTTGCCAACTCAGCACACATGCAGATTGTATGAACTATGAAGTGCAGTGATAGGAGGAGGGCTGAATATCTTTTGCCTAGAAGCTTTTGCCTATGAGCAGCTGAAACTTACGTTTCCAGAGAAAAAGTAAATATTTTTCATAAACATTTAGGATGGGTAAAGAAAACATAATAATATAAATGTGGCTTTCAGTTACTAACTTAGATAAATATTCCAAAGGGTGTCAGGTTGTACTCACCACAACTGAATGAAAACTTGGAAATGAAATACGCTGGAATCTGAAAGTGGAACTTGGTGAGGCTCTAAATACTTCACAGATAGGTAGCTGTAAGGCAGTTCATATCTGAACGGTCTTGGACCTATTCATTCAGCCCTAGCAAGGAAAGTTTTTCATTGGAGTTGTGAAATAGAGACTGGGCAGGTTGACAGAATTTTGCTTCTCGTCTTCTTTGGCAGCTTTATGCTATTTTTTTTGCAGTATAAAATAAGTTGTTTCTTGCTGTACAGTAGAGAATTTCTGTTCTGCAAGAGAGGTCTCTCTTAGAGACTCTTGGAGTAGGGATTGCAGTAGATGAAGAGCTGTTGTCTTCACCCTGCCCACGTGAAAAAGGGGGGAGTGTTTCCGCTCTGGATATCTGCTATGTGCTTATATTCGCTGAGGGGCTTTCAGAGTTGGTCCCGTAAGACCTGCTGTTGAGCAGCTTTAATGTTTTCTGGACAGGCATTGCAGCTGCTACTGCGGCATCCTCCTCTGCATTCTGGTGGAGGATCAGCCTTCTGTTGCCTCTGAAGATAACCAAGAGACATCAGTTTTGTGGTTGTCGGTCTGAAGTCTTCACTAGTTTTGCATTTCCACAATGTTTGTAAAAGCGCAGATGATTTTTGTCTGTCGGGGTCTCTTTGTGTTACAAAGATACATATGGCAGCAGATAGCTCCTGTTGTGAAGTAGCTTGAAGAATAATTCTGTAAAGAAGGAAAAAACATTATCTCAACTAGGAACTAAAAAGTAGTAGCTTTTGTATACTATTTTCTGCAAAAGGCTGGTAGTAATGCAGAGTCATATGATAAAGTGTATTATTCAGAAGTTAGAGTCACAGTCTAGTTCTCAGAAAGCTAAGTGGAGTAAAGCTACGAATGCTTTTCTCCCTATTGGTTGGGTGCAATAAAAATAATGTTTTTTGGTACTGTTGTACTAAGGTTTAACAACCAAAGTGTGACAATAATACTGGTTTTAAAATAAAAAAAAAATAATTGTATTTTATATCCAAGGTGAAAATGATCAGACTCTAAGTAATGATACCAGCCTTTGGAGAGAACTTTTGATTTTCTTTGTTTCCATGGTTCTCCATATGCTTTGCCCTAATTACTCCATAATTTCTGCTGTTTTAACCACAGGCAGGTTTGGGTTCATTGTGAAAGTTCTGCACAAAACCATGGGAAGATACTGTGTAATATCTTCATCCCAATGAAGATAATTAAGCAAGGTTTCACCTGTGTTCTCTGTAAAAGAATTTGCAGCGTTGTTAGAGATTGTAAGTGGATGTGACTAATATTGGAAAGGAGGAAGGGAGGAAGGCAAGGTTATTAAGAGAACATTTACTTTCAAAGTTCGCTGCTGGTCACTTGTATGGGGGTTTTATATCTATCTATCTGTCTATCTATCTATAAGCAATCCCAGCAATCTTCAGTGGTTACATTACTATTTCAAAACAACAGAAATGACAATATTTCATCTGATTCGTGCTGATCTTAAAGCAGTTCATTAACTTTGTTGAGGACTTCTTTTTTGGTTTGCTTTTGCTTTTTACTGCAACGTAACTGAGACAAAAGCTCCTTTGCCAAAAAAGTTCTTTAGTCAGGATTTTCTCAAACATCCAGCCATTGCTGAGAATGATTAGAAATTTCTCCTACGTAAGAAGAAAAACATTTTCCAATTAAAATTATTTGGATGATAAATTTTTGAGCAGTGCTACGCGTAGAAAACATTAGTGAGCCAGCTGTTATATTACTCCATATTGTCTTTTTTCCTCTTCAGAGTTGGAGGAACTGAGCTATCAGTTGGTTGAGACTGTCACCTTTCATCATGTCTGAAATCAGTTGTGTAGATGCAATTAAAGCCCAGTAATCCTTCCTCCATGCTATGATCACAAGCCGCCACATATTGTCACTCAGAATATGTAAGTTATTAGTGAGTAAGCCAGAAATATCTATATAAGAAGGGGGAATGTTTCAATCTGAAGAATCAATAGAACACAGACAGTCCACATTCATGAATTTCTTGGTTCTATAAGAACGTTCTGGTTAGGCTAGCATCCTGATTTTAACGCTGTCCGAAAGTAGAGGCTTGAAAAAGAGGAAAATTCCTCCTGTATCATGGAAGATGATTGTCTTCTGAGCTGGTGATCAGGAGGGTGTATATCTGCACATATTTAAAACAGAATGTTACAGAGTCATTCTAGATGTCTTCTCCTGCTCTTTCAGGTATTTTCGTTGCCCTGCAGATAGTTCAGAGCTAGCATATGATCCACCTGCAGTCATGAATGCAGATACTTTGAGTTACTGTCAAAAAGAGGCCTGGTGTAAGCTAGCTTTCTATCTCCTTTCCTTCTTCTACTATCTGTACTGGTAAGTCTGGTCATTTCACTAAGGAAATAGTAGCTGCTTTTCATTTGACATGTCAAATTGTATTTAGGAATGACTGGAACCAATTGGCTCATTTCCTTAGTCTTATAAAACTTACTTCTGATCTTGGTTCAGGGGAGCATGCCCACTTAGAGCAGCATGTGCGCATATCTGCTGACACCTCAGTGCAGAATATTAAGCGTTTTATCTAAGGCCTGACCCAGGCCCCAGGGCCAACCCAAGGTGAAAAGTTTTGCTCCTCTGCATAGTCTCTTAGAATGGGTGAAATAAAAAATGTTATGATAATGAAATTACATCAAATAAAAATTATAATGTTCTTATGATTCAAGAGAATCGTAAGAAAAATAATATGCCTACTGGTGTAGTGATGCTCAAGATGGTAAGTTAATGGGTAGGTAGACAGTAGGTAGGAACATGGAATGCACCATGTCTGTAGTCATTCCTACAGCCTCCCTTTCATTACAGGGTAAGCCTGTGTGTGGTCCAAACCCCTAATTTAAGTACATTCTTGAAGATATGTACCCCAGTTGTGTGTTGTCTCCCCTGCCCCTTTCAGCTGTCAGATGTCCTTAGTGCACAGTCACAAATGCCCAGTGCAAGAATATGTAAGGATCATATTTAAGGTAAGGCCTTGGCAGAATCCCTGTGCTTTTAGTCACCCCTGTAATCACACCATAAAACTACTTGACAACAAAGGTTAACACACTTTAAATGGAGGTGTTGTTTTACGATGCCTTTCTTCTACTCCTTCTTCCATAATGTATTTGCCTAGCATAGAGTGTCTCTTCAAGCCAGTCTTGCATGCAGTAATCCCTCTGTAAGGCAGGTTTGTATGCTAGTGGAAGAAGATAAATGTTATTTCTCCTTTGTTCACTGGTGCGTTATCTGTTCTGTTGTTCCCTGTATCTTGATGAGAAGTCATTGCTGCAGGTTGTTGTTTCTCAATATTACTTTTAAATATTATTGACAACAAAGTTTTCTGACCAAAGGTGTATGTGTATGTGCCTGTGTCTGCATACATAAGAGGGAAAGAAACTAGAAGGGCCCAGACTCACTGAAGCTGGTAGGTGCCTAACTCACACTGAGATGGATGGGGCATGAGAATCTGAGCCGGAGTTTAACATCCAGTAGCTTTGTGGGTTTGGGCTGAGCGCCTTTGCCTGCCAGTCCTTTTCACGGGGGCGAGAGTGAAAAGCATGGCAGTTGTGCTAGACAAGCTCTGTTGGTAGTGCAAGGAGAGATGGCAAGGCATGGCTGGAGAGAGAAGCATTTTTACCTCCACATTTTTGTGTTGGCTAAAAGACCCTGTCAAAGTCAGCTGTGTAGTGTGGTCTAGCATTTCTGCTGGGACTCTATTGCTGTGTAGCTTCCTCTGAGCCCTGCTTCTTTCATTCTAAAATGTGGCCATAAGCCAAAATCCGCTGCCTGGTGCTAAATAAAGTAGTATTAATTACATTCAATTTTCCTGTGCTTTCTTGGGTATTGTCAGAATTAGAATTGCAGTAAAATGGAGCCATGGCAATATACTGCGATTTCTTCGCTTTTCAGAGTTGCATTTAATATGTATGGATTCACTCCAGCTGGTGTCTGCATTTTATGTTTCTTCTACTGCATGGAGTTTTTTTCCAAAGGAAAAAAAATAATCCAGTTTCATGGGAAACCTTGCCTGCCCTGCTGAGAGTTGCTGGTTGAAGTTTTAAAGATCAAACACACTAAAGCAAAATGGTTTTGTTTCTTGACTGTTCAAATTCAGACATCAGACTGTACTTTAATAAGCTCAAACACAGCTTGTGGTGCAGTAGGATGTCGATAGTGAATTTGTTATTTCTTGAGTGCTTTTTGATACCCATCTTGAATACACCATAATTAAGATGCTTTAGAGAGATAGAAAGAATGCAAAGGAAAGCACAGGCCATTACAGTCAGACCTGAGGAACAGACAGTAAAGGGTTATAAAAATCAAAGTGCTCTGTGTGCTTCAAAAAGATACTTTCATATTGTGTCTTTCTTTTACATTCAGCATGATCTACACTTTGGTGAGCTCTTAACTGAAAGATCATCACTGGACTGAAAACAACAAAGGCTGGAGGTGCAAGGACGAGTGAACCAAGTGAAGCATGATTAAAAAAAAAGCAAAGAGGAAAACTTTGAACCCAAGAAGTAAATAGAGTACGTGAAGGAGAGAACCCAGCAAGAAGGAGCAGAGTACCATGGGAGAATTGCTGAGTTAACTGTGTTTATCTCCTGTTTCTCAATGTGTTGTGGTAAATGACTTTCAAAACCCAAACAAAACAAAACAAAAAAGCAACAAGGTGGGCCAAGTTAGACAACTATTCACCTCTCCAGGGATAATGCTGCTTGGTTTAGTGGATTCATTATAAACTATAGTCCCTACTGTCTTCCAGGGAGCAAAATTTCTTTTCTTAATGACTGTTCTGGACTGAGGAAGCAGAGGGCAACATCATCTTACACAGAAAGAACAGCTACACAACACATTCTGAAAATGAGCACCGACTGGAGTTCAGATAAGATGTGTGACTGTTCTGCAGGGATGTTCACATGACACTAACCAAACAGGGATGTCGGATCTTGTGGAATTGCTTCAGTGGTTTTTTTTCCCACCCATAACAACAACAAAAGAATTTGCAGTTGCAGTGTTCTGTTTTCTAATTGTACGCTATTTCTGTAGGTGAACATCCAGTATATTTCTGTACTTCATTTGTGATGCACCAATAACATACATTGATATGTATAAATACATTGGGTTTGACCTAGTCATGCCAAGCACTTATCAGCATAGTGTTCCTCTTACTGCAAAAAAAAAAAGGTAAAAGCTACAAATATTAAGGAGGATTGTAAAATACGTATTATATTAATGATAATGCTGGCTAACAAAGTACTGGGCCAGCTAATGATGGTCTGTAATTCTGTGTTGCAGCTTTATTTCTGCTGTCAAATTTAAGTTGAAACAAATATACAAAATGTTTTTGTCTTGTATGAGGTTCGTATTGAAAGATGTTCAATTTTTTATAATTTAAAAGTTTTTAAATTCTATCATATAAATCTCATTTAAATTCATATATATGGGCTGTATAACTTTATATATATGTATATACAAATACACATCTATATAAATACTAACAATCTATTTGTATTTTAGCTTAATCTGTTTGATTGACAGGTCAAAGACATCAAGTGTCTAGAACTGCTGCTAAATATATTTCAGTGCTGAACGTAGTGGACCAGGGCTGGTTCCCTCAAAGTCACTAAGGTATTTCAATGCAGCCACTGGTGCTCTGGCTCGTAGGCAAGCCTATAAGATCAAGACTAACACCAGTGCATGCACAGAGACCACTTGAATCTCGCATTGTGAATAGCTAATAAGGTACATTGCTACCAGAAATGCTGCAAAGAAGAGTGCAGAGAGGCCCATCTGTACCCCAGCTTGGTTACAGCTGGTCTTGTTAGCCATAGCTCATTGTTGACCCTGCCAGAATTGGTCTGGCTATTGAGAGCCAGTAGATTGTTCCTGTACCAAACTCTGAGGACTTTTTAGTCTGGGCACAGGACTTCAGCAAGAGCGATGCAGTCTCACATTCAGTACTGCCTCTGTGCTAACACGTCCTGTTTGAGAGCATGGGGCAGAAGCAGTGGCTGAATGGAGTCATCTCATGTCTGGCAAGGTCCAAACTGAGCTGGAGTTACTGCATGTGTACAGTGCCAAGACTCTTTCTGGTTTGATCTGGCTACGTTAACAAGATTAAATCCTGTTAGCCTCCAAAGCACAGTTGCTGCATGCAAACTGTCTGCTCCTGGACCATGCCAACTCTCAAATCATGCCTGGGCATTGCTTGGAAGAGTGCTAGCTGGCCTGCACAAAAATTGTACCAGGGGTCATTCTAACAATTTTAAATGATCAAGTTGTCCCAAGTACTGACATTCTTTAATGTACAAGTACAGACATAGCCAGTAAGGTCTTACTGGATGTAGTTTAACTTCTTACAACATAGCATTCCCAGTTCTGGGAGCACAAAACACATCTGCCAGATTAGGTTACTTGGGAAGCTAATTTGGGCTCTGATGGTTCATTAGTTTGAATTGCATACACTACAGAGGTGGCTAAACTGCTCTTGAAATCACACTGACCCTGCAATCAATACAGATGTATTCGCTTGGAGTGTGCTTGAGATAAGAAACTTTGCTGGGTCATTACAGAGCTCACTGATAAAGCTCTGGTGCCATGGTATAATTAACGCATAACCCATAAAAAGCTGACGATTGTCTGTAACTGAATTCCTTCTCTACATCCTAACTAAAGGTCTAGTTCTACAGAAGTATAGGAACTAGATTCACAAGAGCAAATCACAGTGAATAACTTCTAGGTATCTTGCTATCTCATAAAACTTCCAACTCTGAGCAGGTGACTGCATCTTTCCATGCATCTCCCAGGATGCACAGGAGGTGGAAAAAAATTTAATTCAGGTTTCCTATATTCCAGATACGTGCTTTAAACTCAGCTTCATCGAAAGGCCTGCCATTTTTTTGTGAGGCTGGATGGGTAAAAGTATGATCGTGTCTTGCCTGAAAATACACAATTTTCAAATCCTGAGATTTAGCCATGAGCTAGACTGCCAGCAGGTCAATTGCTTGCCTACAGAGCTGGGCAGAAGCTCTGTGAGTTTTTGTAACTGGCATTGGCATCTAATTCTTGGCTTTACACAAGAGGCACTTACATACATAGGTCTTCTGAATGTAGCTTCAGGTGACTTCAATGATGTAATGCTTGAATGGAAGTGCTAGGTCATTTAAAACAGGTTCTCTATTTCAGGCCACTTCATCAATATACTTCTCAATCTCCACTTGAAAGCAGAACAGTTTGTTTGATCCCACTACTGCTATACACAAGCGTTTCCAATACCTTACTGCTCTGGTACTAGAAAGTTTTTCCGCATTTCCAGAGTAAATTTATGCTTGGATAATTTATTCCACTTGCTTTTGAGCCACCATTAGCCTAAACACACCTTATCTCATGCTGCTTAAGACCCTGCTATGTAGAAAGAGCAGTCCTTTTCAGCCTCTGTTCTGTTAGAAGTGAATTGTCTCTTTTTCCACCCTCCCATAGAAAAGCTCTCCATTCTCCATGTCTTCTTTAAAGGGTTTCTCTGTTGTCTTTCCACTCAAATTAATCTTTCTTAAGAGTTAACGATCACAGCTGTTCAGAGTATTCTGGAGAATAACTGGTCCCTACTATGAATGCACAATGAAAGCTAACGTTCTCAGTTCTTACCAATAATCCTTATTCAAAAACAAATTCCCACTGCTTTCAATAGCATTTTGTTTCTCTTCAAGAAAAATCTTAATTTAAAGGCAATGGAAAAAAATTGTTTAATATGAGGATACTTTCCCTTTCATTGAATTTAGTGAAGCTTCTCCTCAGCAGAAATAATTTATGAAACTGGCCAAAGCATTAATTGGAGGAAGTGTTTAATGTAAGACGTATCTCCAACCCAGAACTCGGGAGTAATGAGACCTTCTAAGGTGTCTGGCAATATCAAGAAGCTACTAATGCTGTGGACCTCACAGACAACAGAGTAAGATACAGCCCTCAGCATGTTTCTTGCTCTGTGTTGTTACCCAGGTGGGTTGCAGTATCTTGCTGGTTACTCCAACAGACTACTACCACTTGGCTGCGGTCCACTGCTAAACCATTACCTGCTGTAGTGGCAGGTACCATATTCATACTGGTATTCAAATTAGTAATTTTCTTACAGTGACAGGGTTGTCTCCCTGGATTTGTCAAAGGGTACAAAAAACCCAAAGTTTTTTTCTAAAGCCAAGTAGCTCTGTTATATAACAGGAAGTGTGTGATTACTGTAAAAAGTCCAGAAATTTACCCTGGATTCTTCTGTGTTGTGGCTGTGTGGTCTGGCCTCTGAACAGTTGTACCCACGTATAGTGAGTGTTCTCAAGACCAGATTTGTCATTTTCTCTGTTAGACTTGCCAGCCATATTATAAGAGAAGCAGCACAAATAGAGGAAGGAAGACTGAGGGATACAAGCTATCTGTTGCCCTCTTAATCCCTGGCCATATAACTGGCTAAACACAAGCTAAGCATACTTTGACCCAAGCAAGGGAAGTAAAGAACTGCATAGCTGTTGATGAAGAACAGAGAAAATGCTGTGATCTTTGGTCACAAGGCAGTGTCTTTCTCATGTCACACTTTTAAGGGAGAAATAATCTATGCTATCCCTTTTGTCTCCAGTTCCTCCTTGTTGGTTGGTGGAGG